GGAAGGGTTTTTTATGTATATGTATGTGTGTGTATATATATATATATATATATATATATATATATATATATGGTACATACATTCATATATATATATATATTATACACACACAATCACACTCACTACCACCAGTCAAAAGTTTGGAATAATTTAGATTTTTATTTTTTATTTTTTTAAATAAAATCTCTTACATTTATTTAATAAAAAATACAGTAATGACTAATATTGTGAAATTATTACAATTTAGAATAAATGCTCTACTGGGATATATTTTAAAATGTAATATACTGTATTTGTGTCATGGCAAAATAGAATGTTCTGCCTTTTTATTTTTAAAAATGGTTCTCATTATTGTATATATGTTGTAAACATTTTTGGTTCTTTATATTGTTGTGGAAATAACTTTATATTATTGATGAATAGAAAGCTCAATTAACAATTTATTTGAAATATAAATTATTTGTAACATTATAAATGTATTTACTGTCACTTTTAATCAATTTAACACATCCTTCCTGAATAAAAGTGTTAATTTCTTTTTTTTTCTTTTTTTTTTTAAATGATAGTGTATCATGGTTTCCACAAAAATATTAAACGGCACAACGGTTTTCCACAATAATAAGAAATGTTTTTAGTTCAGCATATTAGAATGATTTCGGAGGGATCATGTGACAATGAAGACTGGAGTAATGATGCTGAAAATTTAATTATATAATACAATTATATATTAAATACACCAATATTGATATCATATTACATATATAATATATACATAATTAATTAAATAATTATTTTTTTTATAAAAATGATGCATTTATTTTTAAAAGATCATAGTGTAGTTTTGATCCTGTACGTAAATATGATTAAAACAAGATGAAAGTAACTGTTAGACCTGTTATAAAGAATACGGTACTGTCCGTAGAGAGTGGGCTGTACTTCCTGCGCTCCCGTTTACGGTTCACCATCACCTCCATCACACCTGCTCCAAATGTCATGTTAGTGGTGTTCAGGGTCAGATGGGAGGAGGAGCCATCACATGTCTCAAAATACTGGCCTGTGAGGGAAACCACAGGATGATGGTCCATTTGTGTGCTTACATTATGTAAAGCGAATTATTAAAACACTGATATCAATCGGGTCAGTGAATGGCTGACACTCACCCATGGTGTGCCACACATACACATAACCTCTACGTCTCCAGTCATTGGTCTGAGGAAAAGGCTTTCCATCAGGGAAAACATTGCACCTCTTCAGATCTGTACACTTCCCAAAGCCATAGTCATCTAACCAGGATGTCCAGTTTAACACGTATCCTGAACGCACATGTCCATTGGCTGAAAAATAAGTCAAGGTTTTAGACACACAGATGAAAAACGCATTTCTTCCTTTTTTGGGAATATAAATGCAACCTTTTAAAATACAGGTCATTTTTTCCCTTGCGATTGTACATTGTTTAGAGATTACAGGGGTATGAAGCACCTGAGGCCTCCATCATACCGTCCCCACAGTGCTCATCATACACCAGGTTGCCGCTGCTGTCCTCCTTCTGGCATGGTGGAAACTCCAGGTCTGCAGTGAACGAGATGCACGAGCCGTTCATTGCAGGACTGTTGCTCGTAAGGCGCACCCTCGGTGGTTTATCTGTGAGAGAGCATTGAAAGATTAGCGTGTGGTCATTCCTGTCATGCAGCACATTTTTCTGTCCCCATCTTGTATGTTAATATAGTTGAGAAAATCAGTCTCTCTTGCAAGACAAAACGGGGAACATTCAACAACTTAAGAAGGAACATAAGGTTTTTCATTTGAAAAAATATTTAAACATCTGAAATATTTACACAAACTCAAATAGAAATTGATTAAAAGAGGGCGTACACAATTTTTAAAGGAAAAAAATTATGAAATATTCAAGCCTTTTTCCCCTTAATTCCTCTAATCGAAGTGTTTTAAACAAAACATGTTTTCTTTAAAATATTGTTTAAATTGGTAGTCCCCCGAAACTGTAGTCTTAGTATGACTTTCCATCCTGCAAACTTTTGTACTTTAACATACTTTAACCAATGAGATCATCGTCCTACTGGACGGAAGTGACATCATAATCGGTGGTTAAAAAAAAAAAGCAGCACAAATGACTAAATATTGGCGATCTGATTAATCAGTGTGTGGTATTAATTGGTTTGTATCTCTCTAAAACGTTCTATTATGTTTGAGAAAACTACAGAAATTATTTAGACAAATTATTATCTCGCCATTGTGTAAAATGTATTTAATAATCACGTTATAATTAATCAATTTTGAGTACTCGAGTTTGTATGGTATTTTTTTTTTGTATTGTATTTATTTATTTATTTTAAGTTTCCTATTTATTCTGTAATTTTGCGTATGTTACGTGAATCAAACTTTACTAGGCTACATAGCAGGAGACTCTTACCATGTCTGCGATTCAGCTGTTGTTTGAAGTGGGGATACAGAGATTCGTCCCAAGGGTTCGTGTCCGGTTCCCAGCCAGGGATTGGGAATGGAAAAGGGAGTTTGTGTTTGTGAGGGAACATGTCACCATAAGCTGCACGAATGACAGGGGGGAAATACATCGTGAAAGCCTTCTGAACTGACACCTCGATTACCCAAAGATTTCGTGGCCAAACACGAAGTAGCCTAAATAAATGGACTATAATTTACTTGGATTAGGCATTTTAAATTGCGTAAAATTTAACAGGGAAAGCTGGGCTTGTTACTTTCTGCTGGGCTGTATATGTTGTTACTTTTCCCTTGTATTTCGAAACCGGCAATTTCAAAATCATCTCATTTATCTCTGATTGTTGGCTTTATGCTTTATGGTCTTGTCTAACACAAATGGTCCACTGTATATATGATCCTCTATGAGAAATCCTTGATCTGTCTCAGAGTCCTTTTTGAGAAAAGTCCATTTTTTGTTAGATATCAGGGTCAGAAATGTCAGAGAGGTTAATATGGGGATACATTTTTAACAGCCAAATCTAAAACGCATAGCTACTCCACGTTATAAGAAATGTAATCTCTGTTCATTCTTTTTGAGAAACATACTAATCTAGAAAGAACTGCTAGCGTTCATAGACAAATGGTGAGTCTTCTTAGATTTCTTTATGAAACCCTTGACCTGCAGAGCATAGATTCCTCTGTGACTCCTTATAAATAGTTAACAAAGCAGGTGAAAGTTCAGACACTTGTTCTGTGTTGTAGGTCAGCCAGTGTGTCATTTGATTTTTGTCATGAGACTAAATTCAAGAGGATGCTATCAGGCATTTGTTTGTTTGTTTGTTTATTTATTAACTCTAGATATGTAGCAGCATACTGTATAGTGTTCAAGTTCAAGTCTGCTTTATTGTCAATTCTTCCACATGTACAGCACATACATACGGAGAATTGAGATTGCGTTACTCTCAGACCCTTGGTGCATACAGATAACAGTAACAGTAGAACATAAAATACAGATAGATACAGATTAAATATAAAATACAGATGAAACCAGTGAAGTAAACAAACAGTGCAGAGATAATGATTGTAGTGCAAAAGAGCTTGTTTTGATTAAAGTGACAGTATAGTGTTATTTTATTCAAATGCTATGCCCTTTTTCCTGTCATGCTATTTCTTGTTATGAATGTGTGTAGAGTTTGAAGTTGTAAAAATGTATAATGGCTCCCATTTGTACATCTGCATGGCATAATGCATTACATTTAAATGCTGAGAGGCTGAAATGTGGGAATTTTGTTGCAAATTCTCTGTAAAGACACAATTTTATGTTTTGTGTGTGTCCAGGAACTTTTCTCTGCACGTGTTTGTGACATTATGAATGAATCTGATTCAGTAAAGAGACTGAGACTGGAGGTGCCACATCCTGACTTCAGCTTCCGCGCTGGACAGTGGTAAGAACTGTAACTTTGTGAAATATGTATTGTAAGTAGGGCTGTGCAAAAAATCAAATGCGATTTTCATGCGCATCTCGTCAGTAAAGCCGGTTCTGTGATTAGTAGTAAATCTCCAACACGTGCTTTCAGATGGAACGCCATTTACTACACAGAGCAGTAGATCACTGACAAGCTACACAAAATCGCAGGCGATTTATTGCCTCAGTGCTGGAGATTTACTACTAATCACAGAACCGGCTTTACTGACGAGATTCGCATGAAAATTGCATCTGATTTTTTGCCCAGCCCTAATTGTAAGCATCTAATATTGATGATAATACTAAATGATATCCAGTATAATCTGATGGGGGATGTGGGGTACATAGGACAATAACATAAAAAGCCCTATATAAAGGTGTTCCTAGATGTTACTAGATTTTTACTTGAAAGTGACTGATGAGAAGACATGCAGTTTGCAAAATGGCCAGGAGATGGCTCCTCTCACACAAAATTCTCACTTCAGCTTGAGATTTGTTATCAGCAAAATAATGAAAATCTATTCGTGCCACTTTCTCTCTCACTTTTGCTCTCGTTCACGTTGTGTATGTGTGTGAGTTTTGAGAGAGCGTGCGTGAGGTGAAAAGGTCAAGCGATGATTTATGCAGATGTATGCACAGAAACTCCTCCAGACCATATGATGTTGTGTTCCTGCTAAAGAACTTGAGGATCTTGAGTCAAGGAGAGCAGAGCGAGTGGCGGCTTTACTGACGAGATTCGCATGAAAATTGCATCTGATTTTTTGGCCAGCCCTAATTGTAAGCATCTAATATTGATGATAATACTAAATGATATCCAGTATAATCTGATGGGGGATGTGGGGTACATAGGACAATAACATAAAAAGCCCTATATAAAGGTGTTCCTAGATGTTACTAGATTTTTACTTGAAAGCGACTGATGAGAAGACATGCAGTTTGCAAAATGGCCAGGAGATGGCTCCTCTCACACAAAATTCTCACTTCAGCGTGAGATTTGTTATCAGCAAAATAATGAAAATCTATTCGTGCCACTTTCTCTCTCACTTTTGCTCTCGTTCACGTTGTGTATGTGTGTGAGTTTTGAGAGAGCGTGCATGAGGTGAAAAGGTCAAGCGATGATTTATGCAGATGTATGCACAGAAACTCCTCCAGACCATATGATGTTGTGTTCCTGCTAAAGAACTTGAGGATCATGAGTCAAGGAGAGCAGAGCGAGTGGGTGTGTGTGTGTGTGTGTCCTGACATATGTGCTTATCACTTATTAATGCTTTGCGTACACATATGGTGACTCTCAAAGCGTATATGTTGCTTTGCTCTTTTTATTAAATATTATTGAGATAAGTAATACTGGACACATAGGTTTTGTTGTGTTGACATGTTACTGTGTGGGAAGAATCTGCTATCTAAACTTTCTAAAAGTACTTTATGTAGTTGTGTTGTTACTTTTGAATGTTTTAGTTTTTTAGTCATTAACATATAGTCAATGCATGAGAAAAACTGTTAAGTTCATATAATATACTCCAGCAGTGTTTCTTGTATTGTATTGTATTATATTATATTATATTATTTAATTGCACCCTTTTTCACAGGGTGGATTTCTTCATCCCAGGTGTGGATACAGTGGGCGGCTTCTCCATTTGTTCGAGTCCTGGCCTGCTGCAGAGAGAGGGGGTGATTGAATTGGCTGTTAAATACACACGCCATCCTCCAGCACACTGGATTCACACTAAAGTGAGTGAATGAATTAAAAAGGATACACTACTGTTCAAAAGTTTGGGGCTGGTAAGAATTGTTTATGTTTTTGAAAGAAGTCTCCTATGCTTACCAAGGTGGCATTTATTGGATCAAAATACAGTAAAAACTGTAATATTGTGAAATATTATTACATTATTAAATAAGATTGTATTAAATAACTATATTAAATAACTTTCCTGTTTTCTTCAGTGTCAAATGATCATTCAGAAATCAGTCTTGATATGCTGATTTGGTGCTCAAGAAACATTTCTTCTTATTATAAATGTTGCTGCACTGATGCGCTGTTTAATATTATTGTGGAAACCATGACACATTTTTTTCAGGATTCTTTGATGAATAGAAAATTCAAAAGAACAGCATTTATTTGATATAGAAATCTTTTGTAACATTATAAATGTCTTTACTGTTTCCTTACTGACTCCAAATTATTGCGAGGTAATTGAATTAGTACCATTTTTCAGGTTTTCATTTTGTTTTTATTTGTAAAATTCCATTATTGGAATTTTTAAGAAAATAAATTAGTATATTTTCAATATTTTGAATATCCTGTTTCATTCATAAATATGTATTATTACAAAAGTATTTTATATATGGACAGCATTTCATGCAATTATTCTACTATACAGAAAAAAATTATTTTATTCATGTACCTTTATTTTAAAAGTTTCTGTTGTATGCTACTATTTTATATATTTTATCAAATAATTGTAATGGTTTTTTTTGTAAATTGCACTATTTCAGTGCTCTGTGGACTCTCCGGTAGCTGTGAGGGTGGGAGGTAACTTCTACTTTGACCCTCAACCTTCTGAGCCTGTGGTGGACCTGTTGCTGATAGCTGGTGGTGTTGGCATCAACCCTCTGTACTCCATTCTGCTGCACGCAGCTGATCTGCTTAAACACACTCATGTTCACAGGTGCGCTCCAGGGCACACGCACCTGTGCTACAGCGCCAAGAACACCAAAGAGCTGCTCTTCAAGGTATGTATATACCCTTGACTTGTCATTGAAGTGAGATTGAAGCTGCCAACTGATTTTTAGATATTTGCCGTCTTCAGAACACCATTATTGACATTTGTCATGAGCAACCAGATAAATTCTCCTGCGATTTCCATGTTACCCAACAGAGCTCTGACATAGAGCAGGAACTTCAGCCTTACACCATAAGTGAGTTGCACACATCAACATTTTATATTTTGATTACCTATAATCTGCAATCTTTTAATTCATTGAACTATTTTTAGATGTAATGTCACATGGGATTTTCTTGTGTCTTTTCAGATGGAAGGATATCAGAAGAGGAACTTAAGCGCCATGTAGATCCTGAGCACACGTTGTGTTATCTTTGTGGCCCTCCTCCTATGATAGAGAAAGTGAATTCAGACCTCCAGAAAGTCGGCCTATCAGAGGACAGAATCCTTTTTGAGAAATGGTGGTAGCTCTACAACTCAGATAATCACAGCGATGGATGCATCTGCATCATCATAGAAACAGACTGTAATGGCAATGGACCAGTAAAGCCTTTGAGATCAACAGACGCTATGTCTGCATTCTCCACATTTAAAGGGATAGTTCACCCAAAAATGAAAATTACCCCATGATTTACTAACCCTCAAGCCATGCTAGGTGTATATGACTTTCTTCTTTCCGACGAATACAATCGGAGTTATATTTAAAAATCTCCTGGCTCTTCCAAGCTTTATATTGGCAGGCAGTGAATGGGTGATATTCAGTAGTCCAGTAGAAGTCCGATAAAGTGCATCCATCCATCATAAAATGTGTCCAACATGGCTCCAGGGGGATAATAAAGGCCTGCTGAAGCCAATCAATGTGTCAATCACATGAACGCGGAAGCACAGAGGAGAGAGCAAAACAAAATGGTTACGAATTAGAAGTACAAAACGAGGATTTGTATAGAAAAATGTCAGAGGATTTCGATATAAGCCAAGAGGAGACTGGTTTTCCTTTGCTAAACAATGGAAACTTTGATTCCTTTGCTTCTGTAAACAAACCTTGGTTCTCACGTGACTATCATATTCTAGTTAGTGGAAGCTAGAGATTACTGTTTATAAAGTTTTAAATATGGATATTTTTATTACATAAATGCATCGATTCGCTTTAGGAGGCCTTTATTAACCCCCCGGAACCGTGTGGAGCACTTTTTATGATGGATGGACACAGTTTATTGGACTATTGAATATCCCCACCCATTCACTGCCATTATAAAGCTTGGAAGAGCCAGGACATTTTTTGATATAACTCCAATTGTATTTGTCTGAAAGAAGAAAGTCATATACAACTAGGATGGCTTGAGGGTGAGTAAATCATGGGGTAATTTTCATTTTTGGGTGAGCTATGTCTTCAAACAAACAATTCTCTAGACACTGTCCTGTTTTTGTTATACCTCATTTTAAAGATAGACTCAACAAATTGACCATAAACATAAGCGTTGTAATGCTCTACATTATAGTTCATTTGCTGGTTAATGGCATAGCATCCTGCTTCAAGGGCATCATAAGAGTAAGTGCAATAAGATTGCACTAGGTGTTTCAGAGATCTGTGTATAATGTTGTAATATGTTGTTTGCATTTTAGAACACATATTTATTCAGTAAAAATGTTAAGGGCATGGAAATTATCAGTTGTGCAAAATAATATAAAACATTTTTACTCATGAATATACTCCTAATGTACTAAAAGATGCTAAACATGGTCCCTTTAAAAAGTTGATGCTTCAAAAACCACACCAAGTGACCATGACAGCACTCATATGACCCCAGCGGATGAATCAATGTCTTTAGCAAAACGGTGGGTGTTTGTGAGAAAAATACTACTATTTTAACTTTTTAATCTAAACCATAGTTTCTGGCTAACTGATGGTTTCATCCACTTCCATTTTATGGACTCACAAAGATTATGTTTTTAAAAATCTGTTTGTGTTCCACAGAAAAAGGAAAGTCATACATATAGGATGCCATGAGAGTGAAAAATCACTTAATAAAATCAATTTAATAAAAAATTTTTATTTTGAGGTGGATTATCCCTTTAAGGCAAGTCAGTTCACTTGGTGGCCATATTTGTGGTGGCTATTTCCATATTTGCAAGTACAGCTCCCATCTACCTAAATTATTCTACAAAACAAAACAAAATCTACATCTACAAAAACTATTTTTAGCCTGGCTTTTTTTTAATTGTAAGGCAGGACTACAGCTGCCATTGTTAACTTTATTTAGCATCTCAAACTATAATTATCTCCCATTTCATGGGAAGGATGTTTTTTAAAAACTGGATTGATGAACAAGGTCTTCACCACTAATGCTGCTGAAATGTTTGAAAAATGACACTGAAAACAGAAGGAAACAAATCCATCAAGATGTTTCTAACTTTAATTCGTTGCTTCTGTCTAAAATATGAGTCCCTCTATCCATAATATTGCTTTCTCCAGTGAAACTGATGGACTGGAGTCATTTGGATTACTTGTGGATTATTGTGATTCTTTTATCAGATATTTGGACTCATTCTGACGGCACCCATTCACTGCAGAGGATCCATTGGTGAGCAAGTGGTGTAATTATAATCTTTTTCCAAATATGTTCTGATGAAGAAACAAAATCATCAACATCTTGGATCGAGAACAATTTTTTCAGCAATTTTTTTACTTTTGGTGAACTCTTCCTTTAAGCGTTTAGTATGGATTTGGAACCTTTTCATTTTGACGATGGGAGTGGGCAGAACACACATTAGTCTCCAGCCATATGGAGCCAAAGACTGAAGCAGAGGGATGTAGTCTGTTTTCACCGCAACACCCTGCAAAACAGAAGTGTCATTTAAACAATGTGTTAAAGGATATCACTAATGTCCTATTGAGACATATCGTATGAATGTGCACATGTGTCTGCATTCATTTAAAAGGCGGTTTGTAAGAAGAAAGGTGTAAATGTTCCACAAATAATAATTCATTAAAATTAAATTTGGGATGCACCACTGCAGACTTACATCAATAACAGTCCATTGCTCAACTACAATGGCGTCATACACTGCGGTTGGCCTGGCATCACCTGAAGCACTTTGGAAGATAAAAACACTCTCCACAGTGGAAGAAGATGCTGAAGAGAGAGCAAGAAAAGGATTGGAAAATGTTGATAGTGATGTTTGATAATTTGTGTTCAGAGTTATCTGGGTAAAACTGCAGATAGGTTAACAAAATAATTGAAAATGTATTATTCTAGTTTTTATTATTCATAAATTTTTTATAGAAGTTTATGCATTTAATCTTTTCTATATTTTTATCACTATTTTATTAAAACTTTTATATTAAGTGGCCCCAATACCTGTGTAATTACATAGTAACTAGATTTGTACGTAGTATGTAACCAACCACACTGTAAGTACACATTGGTACATAGTATCTAGAGCTGTAATATTTCTGTAACTACACATGTAACTACATTTTGTAACAACAATATGTATAAGAGTAATTGGAACAATTTGATCCAGGGGGTGGAGATGGGTAGGTTTAGGGGTGGAAATGTGTAGTTTCACAAACATTAGAGCTGTAGATACTATGTACCAATGTGTACTTACACTGTGGTTACATACTATGTACACATCTAGTTACTATGTAAGTATACAGGTATTAGGGCCACTTAATATAAAGTGGGACCAAAACTTCTTAAAGAATAAATGTGATACATTAGTAAAATGTATGTTTTTACATTCAGGAAAATGTACTGCTCCATCTCAGTTATTTTCTAAAATGTCACAACATGTCCAGTACCTGCATCGTCTCCCAGGTGAAAGTAGCCGTCGATGAGTTGCGCGCCACTTCTGAAGTGCTGCGTCATGTGGTCCAGCCAATGGGAGTCAACCGAGCTAACAAGCCCCGCCTCTCTGCGCACCTGCAGTGGAACCCTCAAAGAAAAAAACTTTGGCGATCCCGCCAGAACTATCGAATGGTTGTACAGCGCGAACACCTGCACACCTACACATACAGAGACAAATAGTTAGTAAGTGTTTTTATGACTTATTTGTCGATGTCACTTCACATTAATTTAAAAAAGTTAAAGAGTAAGATAATTGCTAAGCAATATTACGTTGCTACGGGTATTCAAACAACATCACGATTGAGAGTGACAGCCTACTGATAACATAAAACAGCTAAACAAGAAGTACATTTTGAGTAACTTTCATTTTAGTCACAATATTGTCAGTTGCTTTGTCTATTTTTTTTGTTCCCCAAACGAAAATAATTCCGAAGGAACAGCGCGTCTCCGAGCAACAGACACCAGGTTCCTGACTGAATCAGTGTGTTTGAACGAATCGGTTGAGTGAATGACTCACTTATAAAGACGCTTCGTTCCTGAGAGGGTTTGGTTGCGAGATTGATATCATGTAATGTATTTTATGCCAATAATGATATTCTACTATGGTGTAAATTATCTTTCCGGTTACATCTTAGTCTTTTTCAGGTATTTTAAGGGAAACAATTATGAATTGTATCAACACAATGAAAGTGAATTGAACCAAATAATGACCAATACTGAGATTTCATGATGCATCACTAGTAAATAATTGTAATCAAATCAGATTATTTTCAGAGCAAATATTTTCACACCTAGAAATTACAAATTGTTTATCTTATTTGACACATTATTTTGATATAATCTAAGCAAACAACACGTCCCCTCCCCCCCACCAACCCTTTCTCTATATTTTAACAGACTGCACACTTACGATTCAGCATCGGGGTGGTTCCGGTGCGCTTGCTGTGTTTGTCTTGGCTTTTGACCTGCTCTTTGTGCTCTCTTTTGTTGTTTTCTGCCAAATCACAGCTGGGCAAGTTTGGCTGCATTCTAATAATCTGGATCTGATGTGGCTCTGGTGCACAAGAGCTTAATATAAACTCATGTGATGGCACTTGGTTCTTTAAATCCTCAGCTTGTGTACATTCACCTTCAACATTTGGACACTTAGTGAACGGATTCTGATTATTCCAACACTGGCTGCTCTCAGGGCTTTGTATTTGAAAGCTGTGGCTCATAAAGTCTTCATTGTCTGAATTAAAGTTTGTATGATTCTGGTTTCGATGATCCCCATTGTCTCTATCCTGTTGGCTCTGCTCGCTCGCAGAGCTGAGGGTCGGAGGCCCCTGATGCACAGAACAGGGACTGGAGTGCAAGGAGGAAAGATCTTCTGGTTCCCAGTGACCAAGGAAATATGGACCTCCACCGGGTTGCGGCAAAAAACCCACAAACAGATCACCCTGATCAGCCAAATCCTGCACCTGCATCCCCCAGAACGACCAGGACAAATAGAAGAAATGTTCATCAGTAACATCACTAAAAAAGTCTACAATCAAAGCTGACAATGAAAGTAAGTGGATTCCAATGTAATATAAATAATTTTACAGTGTCTTTGGAGGAGAAAGGTGGTGCGTTTTCCAGCAGATGCTTTTAAAAAGACAGACAGAAAGACAGAAAGAGAGAGAGAGAGAGACAGAGAGAGAGTCAGGGAGGCACAGAGAGAGAAATTAGTAGAGAAAGAAAAAAAATACATAAAACATTTAATCTTTCAACTATCATCAATTTGTCCTGACACAGCTACTCCTGCTAAAAAAATGAACTGAAAATTCCTAATTTACTATTGTAACAACTTGACTATTATAGTGTATTAAAATATTAACAATAATAAAACAAGCTATATATATATATATATAACCCAGAAATTTTTTTATTTTGAACGGTCTTTTCATCAGGGAATCCTGAAAAAAATATATCATGGTTTCCACAATATTGAACAGTATAAATGTTTTCGACAGTGAGAAATATTTCTTAAGCAGCAAATCAGCATATTGGACTGATTTCTGAAGGATCATATGAGACTGAAGACTGAAGTAATGGCTGCTGATAATTCAACAGTTATTTTAAATTGTAATAACATTTCACAATACTACTGTTTTTACTGTATATTTAATTAAATAAATGCAGCCTTGGTGAACATATGTCAGCATATGTCAGTATACTAAAACTGAATTAAATGATGACTAATATAGGCACTTTTATAACACTATATCGGCATGATTACACGTATTCAACTCCACCACATACACTCAAAAAAAAATGAAGTAGAAATTGGGGGTATGAATGATGTAAGACAGAAATGAGAAGATAAGCATGAACAATTTCATTCACAGCATCTCTGCCAAATAAAGTGTTAACATGCTCACTTTCTGACATGGTTACTGACACACACAAACTGAGTCGCTGTAGAAATTGTTTGAAAGTATTTTGGTGAAACGTTTTTTTACAAGCAATTTGTTTCTGGAATCAGTAATTAAACTTAATTTCCAGCGCTCATTATTCAGAGCACTATTAAGGGTAGCAGTGAGCTGTAATCTGAGCACTGCTTGACTGCAATCATCTTACAGAGGTGTGAGGAGCTTGTTAAAACAAAACGGTGACGTCTGAACATGCTTTGACTAGTGTTTCCACTGAATAAATAACTGCACAGATGAACGTATAGGTGAATTGAGTGCAAATGTGTGATTCAGTCTTCAGTGTCACATGATCCTCAAGAAACCATTCTAATACGCTGATTTGGTGCTCAAGAAACGTATTATTATTATTATCAATGTTGAAAACAGTTGGAAATTGTATCTCTCTAAAATATGACAAAAGAAAGATCACATTTAAAAACAAAAATAACACCAAACAGAGTTAAATGTTCAGTATATAAGGGGGGTCTTATTTTATTTTGTAATAACCCGACAGGGAGTGGAATTGCATTATTTATAGAGACCAGTTTCAATTAAAACAAGATTTGGCTATAAATACAGTTCAGTGTCACTACTCACTACGACTGATTTTTTTCTGTTGCGCACACACGAACAGATAAATCCAAGATTTAAGTACTAAGCCCTCCCATCTTCAAGATCAGATAATCTTTAAAGGATGCCTAGCATTTTTCTCTCTCTACCTGTTTTTTCACTCTCTGTCTTTGTTATTTCATCTGTCAATCATTCACATTCATTAAGTCACTTGTCGTTGCTTTCAATATTGATGCCCTAAAACAAACAAACAAGCTTATTCGAACATCTCTGGCTCACTCGTGCTGTCACAGCAGTTTGCAGTGAAACTCTTTTTCTGTGTCTCTGTAGGCATCAGTGAGTTTTACATATAAATGACCTGCCTGCCTGTCTACCGATAAGCAGCTAAAACAGAAAGCCTGGAGTTTATGTGTGTGTGTGTGTGTGTGTGTGTGTGTGTGAACAGAACTTGAACGATTGCCCAGTTCTCACATATTCTTTTTAAAAAAAAGAGTTTTACATATAAATGACCTGCCTGCCTGTCTACCGATAAGCAGCTAAAACAGAAAGCCTGGTGTGTGTGTGTGTGTGTGTGTGTGTGTGTGTGTGTGTGAACAGAACTTGAACGATTGCCCAGTTCTCACATATTCTTTTTAAAAAAATTTTATAAATAAATATTTGATCCAGGTCACACACACACACACAAACGTTGTATGTGTTAAATTTAAGTAGTAAGTGCAATATTTTGGATAAACTAACACTATTTAAATTATTTCTAAATAAGCCTAGAGAGAGTGGTCAGGACCGATGCTTAATGTCTACATAGAAGCAATTTGTCTTAAGGATGCATTAACAATAGTATATTCATAAATATTAACGAAGATTTATAACATTTATAAATGCATTTAAAGAACTATGTTCATTGTTAGTTCATAAGAGAGACTTTCCATTGACTTCTATTGTTTTATACTAAGCTCATGATATTTTCTATGCCCTAAACTTCACATATGGACCATTTCATATTTTTCATTAAAGGGGTCCTATTATGCTCTTTTACAAAGTCTTGATTTTGTTTTGGGGGTGTACTAGAACAGGCTCTCATACTAGGTTGTTCGAAAAACAACTAGGTTGTTGTTTTTCTTCACATATATTTTACATTATTACAACACCTCTCTCCCCAGTCTGGCATGAACGGCTCGAATAGTTCCTGTATCAAATGAAGGCCCGCCTTCTGAAATATGAAATGTGCTGTGATTGGTTAGCTGGACCAGTGTGTGTTGTGATTGGCAGCACTCGGCGTCCGGTCGGGAAATGTCATGCCCCTTACAATAGAATGAAGCTGTGAGCTTCAGTGTAAATATTGTGTCAATATCAAATCAATTTGAGTGTGATTTAAACCCGGATGATTGTAACCACTCCAAGTTCGTCTGCCTTGGGAAAGCTAGTGTGTCTCCGACATAGTGATAACACTCGATGCCTTCTCTAGTGCAGCTCAACCAGGTCTCGTCCCATTCGTCAGTATTTGTGATATTACAAATCCCGGAAAATATGCGTTGTAGTCCAAACGAGTCGTCCGTGGTAGTTTTTGAAAAGTGATTTCTGTTAAATTAAATATCTCCTTTTGAATTGGACTTTGAGCTTTGTAATTTTGCAGATCTTTTTTATGCTCAAACAGCAACATTACAGACTAACTAAAGTTGAAAAAGTAAAAAAACATAATAGGACCCCTTTAAGAAATTAGAATGTTTACTAGCATGTTTTCTTCCTGGAGACCACTGGATAGTGCCCATAATGTAGGTAAATTCAGGTTTTACTATTACTATCCCCATGCACAAATATAAAAAAAACTAGTGATATGGTCGCATCCTTGTAATTATGTTCAGTAATGGCCCATATACTCATATGCTTTCAAGTCATTAAAATAAGCAGGTCTGTTCTTCCACTTCAATCTGTGTCTTATATTCTCTCATCCTGTCTCATATCCTCTTTCTCTGAAATCAGCGGGATCCATTATTGCTTCTCTCGAACCACACTAACAAAAGCGGCATTAGTATATTTAGAAACATAAGCCCTCAAAGAATAAACACTGTTTGGTTGCTCTCTCTCTCTCTCTCTCTCTCTCTCTCTCTCATCTAATATTACACTTTTTTTCTTCACAGTTTGAAGCTTTACACTTTATTATCTGAAGGTGGGTTTTCGTGCATTTGCATATGCATATCATCAATATGGATGTTTCTTTGAATTTTGAAAAACAGCAATCATATTTATGCTGTATGTCACTGTATGTTAATCCGTTGATGCATGAATTATGAAGTAATAAAGTATAAAACTTAAAAAGTATAGTATTATAGTAGTATTATTTAGTATTATTTATATACTATTAAAGTATTTATCAATATATATTTTTTATTTTATTTTCATTTTTAAAGGTCCCATATTGTCAAAACTGAAATTTCCTGGCTTTTTTTCACGATTACTGAGGTCTAGGGGCTATTTAACTACCATATAAGTTTCAAAACAGTCAGTCCACAGTAAACTGCACACAGCCTGCTTAAAGTAGCTGTGATTTTTCACGAACCATTGTGACTTCCGTAAAAAGTTGACGTCAGAACTACACAGTCACCGCCTTCAGTCACCACCCCGAGCACCGCCCACCGTCCCACTCTCCTTTTGCCAAACCCCCAGACAACATCGCGTCCATGCTATTGCTGAGCAAGAACAACACGGAAACATGTGCAAGAAACATAGACATATGGCAAGAAATCTGTAGACGCGCCCATAACAACAAAAGACAATACTTTATTGAACCTTTTCTGATAAGAAGTGTGCGCTGCAAACGCGAGCATTTTTGACGATTGTTTCTGTCCAGTCTACTCGTTTTATCGCATTTAACCACAGCTGTCGTCGGTTTTTTGTCTGGCAGTGGCACCAGATATGCGATCAAATTTCTAATTTGAGGCTGTATTACGTCGATTCTGGCACCCAACATCACAACAAGATGCTATTTTACGCTCCTTATGTAGCTGAATCTGCGCTGGTTTGAATGGGCCGCCTCCAGTTTCGCCTTTGTTTTGCTGCCTCCTGCTAGCACAGTGACGTCGCTGACCCTAGTTACCTGTGGTTGGCCTGGCCATGCATCACTCAGAACACAACAGGCCAATCAGAAGAGAGGCTCATGAATATTAATGAGACAGACCAAACTCAATCTGTTCTCAGCAGAGCTCCTGAGAGGGGAGCTGTAAAAATATATTGAGATTGTTTTTGGTACTTATATCACAAATATGTATTCTTAAGGACATCAAAACCTCAAATAAAACTCCAGAAAGTTGTACAATATGTGACCTTTAAGCATTTTTACGTGCTTTTGTCATTTTATTAAAAATATTAATATTTCAGCTTGATTTTAATTAATGGCAATGATTTTTAATAGTTTTAGTTTTGCAGTAGTTTTTCCCACTGTTTGTTTTTTTTTGGTTTATTGGTACCATTGGTACCATAATGACATGTTATACAGAAATATGGGTAAAGTCCCATCCACATTAACAACGATAATTACACACCAACGGATGATAATGTTTGGTTTATTATAAGTGCGCATTGCAGTTTTGTGTCTGCCACAAATGTTCAAGCCCTTTTTAATGTTGGGTGGATTTTCATTGGCTGTCAATGTTTTTTATTGCACATTAGGTGGAAAAAATTATTTTCAAAGTAATTCCAACGATATTGTTCCTCTTTGTCATTATTGTTACAGTTGTATGTAACACTGAATGTAACATTCTCAAAGAATTAGAATGATTATTAAAACTTTATAGTTATCATTATAGTTATTGTCCTTTGTGTGAACGGACCTTAAGGGTCAAAGTTCATTATCCATATGAAAATCTGGCTTCTATTTAAAATGTTTGAGAATAAACAACAACAACACGTACAAAGGGACTTTTCAATAGACAAATTGTACAGGAAATGGGCATGTGTACCTTCTTTTCCTAACAGGAAGTCCAGGAAGTGGTATGTATAGGCCACTCCTGAGTGTGTCTCCACTTGTGCTCTTCTGAGGGTGGAGAAAATCTTCCCCGGAGCTTCATCTGACCCTCGAGGCTTCTGCAACTTACAGCCCATATCTGCACACGTGGAGAAAAACAAAGCAAGAGAGAGAAAATGAGACAGATGAATATGGATCATTTGTCTATAATATTCATGTATTCATAACTGCATTATTGATTTAACTGATTGCCTTGGCAGCAGTTCCTAATTGTCATGCTAATTATGTCAGATTGACATTGAAATTGGAATTGAGCATGTGCGAAACTGGGGAGAGGGCATTTCAGCATGTCTTTAAACACAACTGCAAACATTCAGATACATGCACGCGCAAAGATTCGTCACACGGTAACATAACATGAAGGCTAATTGGAAAGTTAATCAACCTTCAAACATCAACCTTTAACACAAACACACGTTCAATGTGTCAAACACAATGCCCCCTTCAAAACGTGCACACGGTCTCCTAGGTTACCAGAAGCAGCAATCAGATAACACTTCATATTTGGTCTGTGACTACACAACCCATCAAACAGTGGAATGTGTGGCCGATGAATCGTGTGGCTAATGCTAATGAGCGTCACATCTATAGCACGTTAACTTGATGTGACAGTAGAGGCACACCACGTGGGCCCCAGGGCCGTCAGCGCTAACACATATCATCAGGTACGGGTGGTTAAGTGCCAGCATTTCTGTGTCAGCGTCTGATGATCCAGAACAGGTGAAACCGAGAGGAACCGGACAAGCCCAGTCACCGTGACAACAAGCATTAAGTGTGCACTGATGACATGATGGGGACTGAAGATGGGACAGGGGAGCGATGGATGGCTGGTTTTGTGGTTCGGGGATGGGGTGATCATTTTAGAGCGCTCTATGAGTAGATTGGGATAAACACTAAAAACCAGTACTGTGCTTTACCATGGTACATGATACTATTTTGATATATAGCCTACAATAGTAGTGTATGGTTATTGTTTTCAATGGTATGTACTAGGTATTTCAAAGTATATTATGGCATTACCTTCGTAGCAGTTTCCAAAAGACTATGGTTTTTCTTACAGTGGTGTTATGTCTAAATATTGTAGTAATTGAATGCTGTACAATAAAGCCACAACAATGCTTTCTATTGAGCTGTCTTTGCTGGCTGCAAGCAAAAACACAGCATGAATTAATGACTTGTATAAGAGATTCTTGTAAAGACTGACTTATCAGTTTGAATCAGTCTGAGGAAGCACTCACAGCATGACTTCACTGAATCGGTCAGAACTGCTACTGAATCAACCTCTGATTGAACCGAAAGTCTTTACTTTTACTATGAGCGAAAATTAAGCAATTTTGGGTAATTAAAGAAAACTATTGAATGGAATGGGATGACATTATTTGTGTGTGTGTGTGTGTGTGTGTGTGTGTGTGTGTGTGTTTATATAGAAAGATGCAAGGCTGCATTTATTTGATCAAAAATACAGTAAAACAGTAATATTGTGAAATATTACAATTTTAACTGTTTCTATTTGAATATATTTTAAAATGTAATTTATTAATGTGATGGCAAAGCTGAATTTTTAGCAGTCATTACTCCAGACTTCAGTGTCACACGATCCTTTGGAAATCATTCTAATATGCTGATTTGCTGCTCAAGAAACATTTATTACCATCATTGTTGGAAACAATTGTGGGGCTTAAAATTTGTATAGAAAGTGGGATTTTATTTTTTCAGGATTCTTTGATGAATAGAAATTTCAAAAGAACAGCATTTATTTGAAATAGAAATCTATTGTGACAATATAAATGCCTTTATTCTTACTTCTGATTAACTTCTGATTAACTGAATGTGTCCATGTAAAATAAAAGTATTACATTCTTTAAAATAAATAATCATAATGAAAATCTTACTGACCCCAAACTTTTGATATATATATAATAATATTTATTAGACTACATTACCAAATTAGTATATGGGAGGTCCCAGGCTGCAAAAACAGCAGACTCCCAGACATCAATGGAAAACATAACCTGGGATGTCTGCACTGATGTAGAGCTTTATATACACAGAAGTGGCTCTTCATCATTTTAGGAGCTTTCTCACTTTGAATTTCCATTGAAACACTAGAAATACTCCTGGTACAACATCACACAAAAACAATTATCTCTCCTTTGTTCTTCTAGAATTGATTTTTTGATCAAACTATCACCTCAGGTGTGATAGTGGCTGTTTATATCGGTGTGTTATTTCTTTTATTACACAAAATGGTGGACTACAGACATCAAGTGAACAACTGAAATCATCGGAAACGATATGCTACTTTTAAGTTGAGTGATTTCGAAGAAATTATTGAGTTATTTATATTTAAACTGAGAATATACACAGGGAGGTGTTAACGTAATGATCTGTAACCTCAAGCACTATAGGCTTAAATTCCAAGTAGGAGTAAATCACAAAGATTTAATAAGACAATTTGCTTTTATTATGAATCTGACAGCTGGAATATAAATGACTACTTCACTGGAGATACACAGACCTTCACACCTGTGCTGAGTGAAGTTAATGCTGGCAGTCAAACGTCCGGTTCCACTCAGTTCCCTTCACTAGCCTGACAATCTCATCATTACTGACGCCAATCGCTCGGCAGCAGACCGACAGATCATCAGTTTGCTCAAAGTTACTCAGACAACATTTGGAGAGCTATTAGAGCATAAAAAGAAACCACTGATTCTTAATCTCAGCTGAATTTAAAATATCATCAAGGGACCAGCAAACGCAAGCTTTGACAAACACAAATGCTGTTATGAGCACATAAGCCTCAGTAAGGGGATAGTTGCTCCCTCATTGAGCACAAAAATGACAGCACAGCAATGTGTGCATCATACTTAGCCTTGACCATTATGTAGGCTATCAGTACCATCAGTACCATAACCATGATTGGCCATATTATCATTTATTTATCGGCCAGTATTGGATATTTTATTGTGCAAGTTTATTACATTTGCTTTCATCTAATGTACTAATAGATAAAAGCACTAATAATTTAACAACAATGTTAAATATAATCTTTAGCAAGTCTCGAAATGAATTTGCTTGTAGAAATGACTGCTTCAAGTTTTTTCTTTTTTCTTTTAAATGAATGTTTATTGGTTTTTAGTAAATTAAACACAAAACAATAAATTGAATAAAGCTGAAAAATCGGAAAAAGAAAAATGTATATAAAAATAAATAAATATTACTAGGACTAATAAAAATGATAAAATAAATAAATAAATGGGAAAACAAAAACAAGAAGCATTACACTGCGACAGGATAAACAAAAAAAGTGTGTGTGTGTATATATTTATATACTCACAAAGACATACACCCACACATACTTATAAATATGCACATGAGAAAGTAGATAAAATACATAAAAATTAAAAAACATAATTATTTAGGCAAAATAGTACAGGATTTTAATATCATTGTTTATCATTAAACATGAAAGTTATGATTAGTTTATCACTATCACCCAGAAATTTAATGTCAGTGAATCTCTATTTCCATATGAAAGAAAAATCCATTGGAAACACACACTTTAATATCTCAATTGTTTCTCATTGGCAGTGATGAGATTAAATAAAGTCTAGAGTTCCTGCTTCTTGGAGAGCCTGGAAATCTCACATGTCTCCTCTAAAGATCTCAGCAATAACTCAAACTTGCTCAGATTTTCTAAGATATCAAAACCTGGTATTCAAAAGTGATTTCGATATGAATCTCTCATCAAATTCTTCTAAGACCAAATGATGTGAGCTATGCTGTCTGCATTTGTTTTATTACTCTACAGTCTTACTGTGTATCAACATTTGTTTCTATTTTTATTTCTCAGGAATTACAGGAGAAACCTCTGAGACAAAATTGATATCCATTAAGTCTCCTTAGCTATGAAAGAGCAAAATAAAATGATTCTGGGTTTTTATAGATACATTAAGATTTATGTATCAGATTAAAATAGATTAATTAGATTACTAAAAAGCACAAGTGCAGAGACTTTGAGATTATCTCTTCGGCACAAAGATGCATATATTGTTTCACACTCTACATCACATCTGCATACACTTCCCACACTACACACTTCCTGCATGGTTCGCAGCAGAACACACGAAGATATTCACACACAATAATCTCTCACTGTGATAAGCGTGAGGAGGGGAGCGGAAGAAAAAAGGGAAAAAGAAAGATGGAGAGCTAAATTTAGGCAAGATGATAGGGAAGGATAATAAGTTGAGAGCACACATCGAATGCAAGGTGGTGGTGGTGGGGCTTTAGTAACTAACGGAGACGAGAGATTGTCAATATGATGCAATAAAGAAAAGTCTGGTTTACTATCCTAATGTCTTGCTCTGACAAAGGATCTTAATATAATCTTGTATATTTGAATAAAAGTATAATAAAATAGTGTAATTCTGCATTTTACTACATTCATCGCATCATCTCCAATGTCAACAAGACAAAAAAGTACCACAGTTTGATATGGTACCTTGTTTTTTGTGCATGTACCATGGTAGCACTATAGCACTATGTAAACACTACAACACTACAGTATGTAAATATGGTAATAATTCAGTATCATGATATACTGTATGTAGTGGGGTCCAAATTAGACTACATTGAAAAACTGGTATTGCAAATATAAATAACCGTTTTTAAATAAAAATTTTAGAATTCTTTTAATTTTAATGAATAATAAATGTTATAATACAACAAAATAATGATTAATAAAAATTTAGGATAGGAATTTCTAGATCACCAATCATATTATGTTTACACACAGACATGCATATATATACATCGATAGATAGAAATATATATAACATTTGCATATATTTATTTATACACACATACATGAATATATCAATAAAAAAGTTAAAGATTTGATAAAATATTTAATTTTATCAAATCTTTTTGAGATTGAACAGTACTTCAATTTTTATTACAATTTTCTGATTTGTAATTTAAAAAAGTACAAAATTTGATAAAATATTGTGAAGCATTTTCACTAGTACTAGTGAAAATGCTTCACAATATTTTATCAAATTTTGTACTTTTTTAA